AGGCAAGAAATACTTGCCCTTGAAACATTTCCAGTTTATAACTCCAACAACCCTGAACTAAGAAAGCGCTAGGATATCAAATGATTTTCCAAAACCACCTGAAAAGAAGCCAGAGACGCTCCAGGATTAATTTTTTTCTTAAAGAGCTTAATATCTTCTCTACACCAAAAGTGCATTGCTTCTAGCCTCAACAGGGAGTTTTCTGCCAAGACTGCAGGAAAGTAAAAGAAATCCAGAACACAGAATATTACACTCAATTAATTACACGCTTAATTGCTCTCTTCTTCTAACAGCCTAATGAATAGAGCAAGTTTCAGTTTCAGTATGTATATGTAGCCCAAAGTTTCAAGTCCAATAAAGGAGACGGGACCAATTTGAAATGTCTATGCTAAGATCAGACATGTTTGTGTAGCCAGTAGTAAACACTCAGAATAAATAACATCTATGCCCCTTGCTTTCCACCCAGAGCATCCAGGAGCTAACATGTAGGGTTTTTTCTGTACAACCTGAAAAGAGAACATTGTATGTCATGGAAGCCGACAGCCTCAATTAAACTTAAGAGAATCCATCTCATCTTAGATCACAGGCCAGTGGACCACCATGTGCCGGTAGAGCTTCCTCCTCTCTTCACTTCTTTGGCCAGGACCTGGTTGCACTATTGACTCAACTTACGTTTCTGAGTCAGTAGTCTGAAAAGTATCCCAAGGCACACACAACTTTCATTTCAACCTTCCCAAGGCACACATCAAAGTGATATACCAGGAAGCCAGCTGGCAAGAAGTAGGTTCCAAATGTTTGCATAAACTGCAAGTTAACTATTAAATTATTGGCAAACAGCCCAATTCCAGTCAGAGGCACTTGCCCTCATTAAAGCCCAACAAAATAAAACAAAAACAAAGTCTCTAAGCTAAGCCACTCGAGATGTTACCTATGTAAAACAAACATTTCATTTTAACGGTCAGGTTCAATTTGGCTTTTATTCACTCCCTGCACTGTTACCCGCATAAGGCATTTTCTTGCTATTTTAAAACCAAACCTGCCTGTCCTTTCTAGTAAACCAAAAACCACCTTCTTTTGCCTCTAACAGCTTTGCACACAAAAGAAACAGCTGCGGTGATTTTTTTTTTTTTTTTTAAAGAAAAGCATAGTTCTCTCAGACATTCCTAGTCTCAAATGTCATACCTATCTTGTTGAAAATTCTGCAGGAAAAGCTGAAGCATGCCATTTCATTTATGGACAGTATTACGATACCCGTTGTCAACTCTTTTATAATCCTGAAGTTCAAGAGAGAGTCATTTTTTGGTTTAGCAATGGAAATTTAGCTTTGGCATTAACAATGGAGAGAATGGGCACATGTACACAGATAATTCAGTCAGACATGAGCTCAGTCAGACCGTACTCCAAGCTGGCCGGACACGAGCCAGCTCTAGTTCACAAGTCATGTAACTGTGTTAGCACAGCACTGTGCCCACACTAATAAAACCTGCTGAGAGGCAGGGTATATTAGGCTGGACACAGTCCTACACTGTCTGGCCAACTTCAATCAAGGATAGTGGATGCTGGGTCTGTCTGCACCCATCTGCGTACATACACACTCCTGCTCTGTAAGACTGAATTCTGTGCATCTCCTCTTCTGAAGATTTTTTTCCTTATTTTGTAACCTAGAAGGGCTAGAGCACAGTACCATACATTTGAGATTTTAAATATCCTCCCTGACCATAACCGTGGTAATGCCTTGTAGCTGTTTCAATGAAGACTTAAAGAAAGAGAATAATTACTAGCACTACAGGGCAATGAGGGGCTAGGGCAATCAAATGGATTCTATTTACACAAAAGTACTTCCAAGAGGTCTGAAACACAACTGTCCTTTATAGTAGTAGCATTTCCCCCAGGCATTTATTCTGTTGTGGAATTCAAGAATTATAACTCAGTTCTTGTCAACATCTCAAAAACAGAAGACACATTTTAAGTAGTATTCATGTCTATCTCAAAGTAAACAAACAAATAGAAAATTAAGCTATTAATTGGAAAAACGTGTGAATCCTAGATCTTAGAAAAAGCCAGACTATGAAGAGAGATCAGGTAATACAGCAAATCACTAGTTTTGCTCCAAAGACACATGCAGCTAAACTCATCTTTGTCTGTGCAAGGAAATTACTCAGTGTTCCAAGGACAGAAAAAACCCATGTCTTAATAATCTACTGACATAGAAACCAAAGGACAGGTGTGCATCTCTCAGCTCAAATAACTAGCCCAAAAGATCAAGGAATAAAACTGTAACACGAACATGTTAATAACATTGAGTTTTCCTTAATAACAAATGCCCTGGAGCAGCTTAAGGCTGACACGACTTCTCCATTTTATATTTTCTTCATTTAAAAAGGAGATTAAAAAAAAAACCAACAAACCAGATTTAGTGAGCAACATACTTAAGCAACAAACCAACATACTTGTTTTTTAGGAAATGCAGTTAGAAACCCTTCAGTTATATGATACCATCTGTGCCAGCCCTTTCAGTCTTGCCCGTGAAAGAGTAGACAGAGCAAAAAAGACAGTTACTAGAGTGCGAGACTTCTGTCTCTATTTCAAAGTAACTTCTTCTCACTACCTTTAACTTTTCTATTGTCTAAAATAAGCATTCCATGTTTTGAAATGAACTACAGATTGCTGACTAAAAAAAAAAAAAAAATCATGCCAGTATTTAAGATATCTTCAGCAGCCTTCAAACTCAAAGCCATTGACGTGAACTGGAAAAGTTTAGCTTATTCAAAAAGCGAATTTAGTCTGGGCAGTAGCCTTTGAATCAAATTTTGAATTTTCTTATACACAACAGTATTTCAAAAATATAACTCATATTTGGATTTATGCTTTAACATTCATCATTTGGGTCCATTTGTATACTCGTGTCACTGTGAATGTAAAACCCATAAAAAGGTATGATCTAAACAAGTTCAGGCAGACTCAGATACCAATAATCAGAGAACGGTGACAAAGGAAGATGGTTTAAGGAAAGATCTGTGTTCATTTTCATCGGAATAGCCTGCATGCTGCAAAAATACTAGGTAGTATTAGTCAATATTTAGGTTTGCAATTAATGTCTGTTAATTATGATCTGAGATCTAATATAAAGTGCTTATATTTCTTAGCTAAAAATTACTTATCTGACTTCAGAAACATCAATTCAGTATTCACAGAGAATTCTACAAGAGTGAGATTTTTAAGAAAGTAAAAAATAAGTATTTTTCATTTTGATTTACAATATGTGCAAGAATACTCAAAATAATACTGGCTAAAACAAGTTCTAACAAACATTCATTGCTGGTGACAATCAAGACAATGAAATAATTTTTTGGCTAAGTGGCAATGTTGGATATGCACCTCTAATGTACTATAGCTGTAAAGTTCATATATCATGCACACCTGCATAAAAAAAAAATCTCAGTGCACAGTTTTCAGAAAGAAGCTGAACCTTACCCTTAGTGACAGAAGGAATGCTTTTTCTATCTGAACTATTAAAACTATTGGCAAACAGCCCAATTCCAGCCAATTGAGTAACTAGTCCATTCAAGTTTTAAAAAACTCATCAGACTTTGAAAATATGGGAGTTTGTCTTCCCCGACCCATTAATTAAAAAGATGATAGATTAAAAAAATGCTTGGAGGGCTACTCTCTAAACTTTACAAAGGACAAGGTAAATAGAAACAAAGCGTTCAGCTTCTAACTACAGCTAATACTTTGTCTTAAGTACAAAAATATTTGTTGTCCCCCCGCCCTTTGTTATCCAAAGCATGGAACAGCTCCAGTTAACAAAATATAAATTGGTTAGAGCCGAATTAGAGAAATAGATAATTCACATCCGACGAACAGCCTGACATAAATGACACACAGAATTCATGTATAAAATTTTACCTTTCTTTGAATGCAAAAATCTAGTAATACAAGTAAATATAACCAGACTATAGAATTGTTCAGAGGGGTATACTGTTGTGTTTAGACATGTACATACAACAGGTATATAGTGTCTATTCCACAAAGGAAAACGTAAACCGATGAATCTCCATCTTAAATGTAATCAAGATCATATGGGGGGGAACACGACACACACAGAAATAAACTGAAGAAAATTAAATTAATTTAAAATTGATTATCTGAATGAAGACTTCTTGGCTGATTTTAAAAAGTTAAGAATATATTTCAAAATTAACAAATTTTATGGTTTGTCCAGAATGTGAGTAAAATGACTTAAGAAGACGTGTACATATTTTTAGAGCCTGCATGTAATATTGGCATACATATCCTACTATTTATCTCCTACCAGGCCAAAAAAACCCTAGTGAATGCACTGTAGAATCAAAAACAAAACAAGAGTGAAACGCAGGTGTAGTTTTCTGTAGCACCAGAAGGCTTGCTGTTAAGTTTCCCTAAAACCAACCTGCAGAGATACACCACAGTTAACCTACAGTTAAGCCTTTCAAGTGAAGAGCTTCTCAAAAGAAAAGCTGCAATTCAAGTATGGCATTGAGCAGAAGCTACTGCCAAGAGCCATACTTGAAGACACACAATAACATTTCTTTGTCAGCACAGAGAAGAATATTTACTCCCATGACTATGTCACTATATACCACATATTAAAGACAGTAATGAAATATTTCACAACAAAGCAAAATTATTATCTTGAAAGTAAGCTATATAGTCCCTAGTTTGGAATTCTTTTTTGATCAGCTATCAAAAACTACTTTTTCCTGCAAAGCTCCACTTGAATTTTCTACTGCCACTAGCAGGTTTTGGAACTGGTAGCAAAAGGCAAATTACAGGCTGTGTTTTTAGTAATTCAATACGTTACATTAATAAACTATGGTTAGCTTAAATTTACTTTATCATGAAAAGTCAGAGAATGTAGACGTGAATTTGCAGAAGTAATTTTCCAACACAAATACTTGAATGGCACCAAACAACTGAGTTTTAAAAAAGCAGTATCAGCAACAATTTGTATTACTTACTGGTATATAATAGATATTCATTTTAGGGGCTTCATTGGCAGTCATTAGCATTCCTAAAAAGAGATTTCCACATTTAAAAATATTGGTCACAAGAGGATAATACTACTTTAAAAAAAAACAAAAACAACCACATATACTAGAGGCATTTAATTCACATGAAGTAGATTTGTACATAGGACTTAAAATATCTTTCCAGGAAAAGAAACAGAAAAAATGGAATCTTTGCTGGCACCAGAAAAAAAAAATTAGAATGGTAACCTGAGTATTTGTACGGAAAGGACCCTTCA